ATATAATTGCTTATTGAAATTGGAAGCGTAGCATCAGGGTGTAATTTGTGTAGAAATACTGTGTAATGGCACCATAATGCGACAAGGATACCAATGACTTGTATATGATAATTCAGTTATCTATACGACTATTTGTCACCAATACAATAGTATGTGACATGATCATATTGCACCAATCGACCAATATACGATCACTGGATACATCACACGTCGGTGTTTACCACTGCATATGTGTGGTGTATATTGGTTATAGTCCATGATATCAACGAGTTTATGCATACTGCTTACACCACACATCATACACATCAAACCGACTCGGTGATATGCAAGTGTTGCGGTTTGACCAAATCACAATCATCCAATATTGTCGACTGTTCAACTTGTTGATATTCAAACCGTGCCATCACTAGTCACAATATAATGGTTGACTGGTTCGTTTGATTGATCTGACATTGACACTTTGCAAACCTCGACTTGATTCATCAGCTTGGATATTCATATAATATTGGGTTTGTATCATCACGTTGGACTCGTTATCAAACACCTTGATGTGTCCATGCAACCCAAACTCGATATACACACATTAGTTACTGTTTGACATGACTGAGTCGATCATCAATACCAGACAATGCAACTGTATTAGTTGTATGATACAATCAATCATGGTTGACTCATCACCATCAAATATCAAATGTTGATCACGTATACATTGATTTGTAATTGCATGGTCTGTTGGCAATACACACTATGATATGATTGACAAGTTGTTGATTTGCAGTAATCAGATGTGCATCACCTGTAACATTGGATGCAATTGACGAGTTGTAACCACCAGTCAACAGTCATGGATATGTTGGTGATTGTGTTGACTACATGATTGGTATTGGATTAGCTGTCATGATCGATTGGTGGACAATACAATCCACATTGATTATGACGTGTTGCAACTAGTTGATATATGCAGACTCGACTGATGATCGAGTATATGTTGATGAGTAACTCTGTCACTGTTTGGTTTGAGCTGATCATTGCTACCGCTTGTATATGCAGTGTATACATGTGTGATGTATTGGATATCGGTGTTGTGTATGTTGGACAATATATTGTCATGTCGCATCAAATCGCACCACATTTAGAATGCAATAATTGACTCGTTGATTTAATGATCGACTCGACTCACATTCGACTGTAATGACCACAAATCTGCATTTCTGATCGATACGCATATATCAACATGTATCAGACTCGGACATGGTGTATATCAGTTGCATATACCAGTCACTGATGCAATTGATGATGATCGATTAATCAATCAATTGGATATCAACACCAATGTCAATCCATTACCACATGGATACTTGCAGTTGTGACCTGTATTCAGTCAGTAATATTGGTTCATGTAGTGTATTGTATAGTCAACCATGCACATGCACATACACATGCATGTCATTGTCAATTGATGGTCGTTTGTAAACAACTTGTGGACAACTTGCAAATATTACAATCATGGTGATTGCTTGAATGTCAATACCAAGCCATGCGTTTGATGGTCATTTACTGTTCAGTTTACTGTTCAACAATGCAAATGGTCGTTGTCTACCAATCAGTCGAGTCGTAGACATGAACTGCACATTGTGCGTATCGCTTTGTTCATGACCAAACTGTAACAATGTGCACTTTGCATTGAGTTTGAACTGCAATCTGCGACTTGTACGCATTATGATGCATTGTTTCAATATTCATGTTGCATTCATCAACATCAACGTGCAGTGTCGATCTGATGTTTGGTGTTGATGTTGTGTTGATATTCCAACAACACTGAATATCCCAAATCAGGTCAGCATTGACTCATGTGATAATAATCCATGGACAGTCGGTTGTACCAAACTGTTGTACAAGCATATTGTCATTTTATCAATCAAAAGTAGTATAGATAGAACACCCAATGATACCAGCTTTTTAACCGACACTTACTGCTAAATCATGTACAAAGTTGTCAAAACATAAATTATTCGCAGAAAGGAATTCAAGTCAAAAGTATTAGGGTAGAATAGTCAATAGCTTTGCTTGTAATTCATAATAAATACGAGTTATTTGTGCCAGACTCATACTTGATGCCTCAAATTGGATACAATGGGTAGTTTTTTAACCAGTACTAAGTGTTAATGTACACAGACTGGGTTTAGCTGGATCTTGTTGTAAGAATGATAGAGTATAAAATCAAACCATTGACAAGTCCGTGTTTATCGAGTACGAGTCTTTATATTTCCAATCAACTCTTCCAAATGTGATATTGTGTCTTGCAATGCCAAAATGGATTCAAATTTGCTTGATTACACTATGCATTTGGACATCATTGCTGATCTGTTGAATTCCACGCTTTCTTTGATCATCTTTTTGATACTCTAGCATATTCCATTCATAATTGTGTCTAGCCTCCAACTCTTGATCCTGGCTCATCCCCGGTTGTTTTTGTCAATACCATTGAT